CTGTCAATTCTCGGGTCAGGTACCCGATCCGCCAATTCAGAAAAAGTAAAAAAAAATACCAGACTTAAATGAATCGGGTCAATGAGCCGAGTTAGTCAGGTCCGGTGCTTTTGAACACCCCTACCTAAACCAAACCCAAATCTATCACCCAAACCCAGATTTATAACCCTAACCCTAACCCTAACCAATCCGGTCGAACCACCCATCCTAAGCGAACTACCCCACCACCCACCCTAACCGAACCAGACCCACCATCTTAACCCACCACCCACCTAAAACCATCCACTACGACCGCCGAAAACCACAACCACAATCCAAAAATTAACAAAAAAAAATAAAAAAAAGAAAATTAAAACAAGAAAACATACCTTTAAAATCGAATTGGCTTTGAATTTCACGTCAAACTTGGTTAATAAGGCCAATTCGACCAAGAAAACTCTAGATGATCGAAATAAATCTTAGGAAAATTTGTTAGAAAAAAACCTTTTAAAAGCACCATTTTCAGGAAAAAAAAACCTTTTAAAAGCTTTTTGGTTAAAAAAAAAACGACCATGTTCATTTTTTTTGCGAGAGGAAACCTATTTCCTTAATCACCCTCTAATTAACTTAATTAGACTCTAATTTTTCTTATTTCTTCTAATTAACCTCTAACCCACCAAATTATTAAATAATAAGATTTTTTATATATAAAAAAAAAAACCACCACCCCTCCCCTTCCTCCTCCCTTTCCCTCTCCCATGGCAGCAACCCCCCTCCCTCATCGGACCCGCTGCCCAGATCCCCCCCACCCCCGGCGACCTCCTCCACCGTCGAACGACCCTCCCTTTCCCCCTTATCACCGCGGCGACAACCACCTCCTTGATTTTGAAAAACCCTGGAAAATCAATTTGGGGGTTTATAATTTTGTGCATCTTGCTTGTAATTGATGCTTGTTTTGGCTTTGATCACTACAAGAAAACAGCTGAATTCTGACGGACTTTTTCCGTCGGAAACAGGGGAAAATCCGTCGGAAAACAGCCTTCCGACGGAATTCCGTCGAAAACTGTCTCTTGGAACAGCCTTTGTAGGAAATTCGACGTTTTCCGAGGGAAGTTCCGTCGGAAGCCACATTTCCGACGGAATACATTCTATCGAAGTTGGTTTTGACTTTAACTGAAATTCCGTCGCAAACTTCCGACGGAATTTCCCGTCGGAGTTGAAGTGGATTCCAACGGAAAATTCCGTCGGAAGGGGAATATTCCGATGGAAAATTCCGTCGGAAACGGTATATTCCAAATTTCCGTTGGAAAATTCAATAAAAAAAAAAACCTCCGCCACCACCCCCACCACCAGCCCCCCTACCACCTTAACCCACCTCACCAGACCCACCACCTACCACCTCACTTGACCCACCACCTGACCAAAACCCACCTCCCCACCTTACCAGACCCACCTCCCCACCTACCACCTTAACCCCCAACCACCTGCTCCCATCGCCGAAACCACCCAAAACAACACCTCACTACCACCGAAACCCACCTCCCCACCTACCACCTTAACCCACCTCCCCACACCGAAACCCACCTCACCGAAACCACCCAAAACAACACCTCACCACCACCGAAACCCACCTCACCACCCAAAACAACCACCGAAAACACCAAAAAAACATTAAAAAAATCCATAATTCACCAACAACATATATTTCCAAAAAATCAGAAAAATCAAGAACTTAATTAAAATCAAAATTTAAGAAGAAAAAAAAGAGAAACATACCTTAATTTGACAAAAAAAAATGCCGAAATTGGGTTTGTAAGGTCAAATTCGACCATGAAAACTCTAGATCTAGAGTTTTCATGGTCGAATTTGACATGAAAACCTTGATTTTCATTGAAACTCTTCAAATCTTCTTGAGTTGCCAATCAAAGAAATCGAAACGAAAAAAAAAAGAGGGGAAGAGGAAAGAGAAACAGGGAAGAGGAGAGGAAGGAGAAAGAGGGGAAGAGGAAAGAGGAGTGGCGCCGAGGCAAGGAGAACACCGGAAAGGAAGGAGAAAGAGGGGAAGAGGAAAGAAGAGAGGAGAGAGAAAGAGAAGGGAGGCGGGGAGAGAGAAAGAGAAATAAGGTTTGTTTAGGGTTTTTTTTGGTTTTAAAGGCTTTGTTTTTTTATTATTATTTAATTATTTTTCGACGGAATATTCCGTTAAAACTTAATATTCTGACGGAATATTCCGTCGGAAATTTCCGACGGATTTTAATTCTGTCGGAAAATTAATGTTTCGACGAAATATTCCGTCGGAAACTGCCAACGGATTTTATTTCCGTCAGAATATACATTTTCCGACGGAATAATGCCCATATATTCCGACGGATTTTTATTCCGTAGGAATTCCGTCAGAAATTTCCGACGAAATATAAATCCGCCGGAATATATAGTATTTCCGACGGAATTTTGTTTTCGTTGGAAGATGTCCGTCGGAATCTGGCCTTTTTCTTGTAGTGGATTATGTATGTATGTGATGCTAAGGTGATTTAGAAGCAAATTACAATTGTTTTTTACTTGATTTGAGCATGTTTAAGTATATTAGAACCAAAAAATTGAAGGGTGGTGGTGGTTGCCAACGGGGATAAGGGGGAAAGGGAAGGTCAACCAGTGGTGAAGGTAAGTCGCCGGAGTTGGGGGGTCTGGGCGGCGGGTCCGGTGGGTGAGGGGGTTGCTTCCAGGGAAGGGGGAAAGGGAGGAAGAAGGGGAAGGGGTGGTTGGTTGGTTGTAGGGGTGGTGGTTTTTTGATATATAAATTAAATCTAATTATTTAGTAATTGGTTGGGTTAGAGGTTAATTAGAAGAAATGAGAGCAAATTAGAGTCTAATTAAGTTAATTAGAGGGTGATTAATGAAATAGGTTTCCTCTCGCAAAAAAAAATGAACGTGGTAGTTTTTTTTTTAACCAAAAAGCTTTTAAAAGGTTTTTTTTCCGCAAAATGGTGCTTTTAAAAGGTTTTTTCTGACAAATTTTTCTAAATCTTAAAAACCTTAAAAATTGAAATGGTGTAGAAAGCAAAGATGGGAGACAACAGGCGTGGTGGTGGCGACGAAGGGTGAGAGAAAGAGAAAAGGAGGAGGAGAAGAAAAAGATCGAGAAGAGAGAGGACAAATGAGGAGAAGTAGAAGAGAGAATGAAGAAATGAGGAGAAAGAGAAGAAAAATATCGAGAAGAGAGAAGGAGTAGAGAAATGAGGAGAAGAGAGAGAAGAAACTGAAATGAAGGGGAAAAGAGGACGGTTGATCATGTAGGTTTTTTTTTTTGTTTTCCTTTTTTTTACCCTTTTTTTTATATGAAATCCGTCGGAAGTCGTTAAAATTCCGTAGGAAATTTCCGACGGAATTTATTTTCGTCGAAAATTATTTGTTTTCCGATGGAAAATCCGTCAGAAATTAAGTTTTTTTCCGATGGATTTCCAACGGAAAATCTTTATTTGTCGAATTTTTTACGGAATTTAAATCTATCGAAAATTCTGACTTTTCCAACGAATTTCATTGTCCGTCGGAACATATCCGTTGAAAATTGAGCTTTTTTTTATAGTGTCACATGATGTGGCCAACCACATATAGGAATTTGTGATAAACATAACATACAATGTCTTCCTGCAGTTGATCGTAAGATAAATTTTTAAATTTGGTATTTGATTCAATCCAAACTTTATTGTTACATGATATATATATATATATATATATATATATATATATATATATATATATATATATATATATATATATATATATATATATAAAAGAGACACACGCGATGCGTGCTTGTGCAATATAAAAAATCTATCATGCTTGATTGACTTTCTTTTTCTTGAAATGTTATCCTCCTTTAAAAATTATCGATCTAATCCTCCTTATTCTAATAAAATAAAAAACTTTAATGGCTTTAAAAATTGTTGATAAGAAAAACAAATAAAAAAGTATTAGTTATTAAAAAAAAATGTTAAACCCCTTCTCTCAAAAATATTAGGTTTACTTGCTACGGAGTAAATAATAGGATATGACTTCCCTCAAAATAAAAAAAATAATAAGAAATGGATGGTAATTTTATTTTATTTTTCTTTATAAAAAGGATGGTAAGAAAATGAAAGGGGTATTTTGAGAAAGTGAAATTTATACCCCTTCTCACTTTATATATAGTAGCTAGAAATAGAAATTTAATCCCTTGAAATATAATTACACAGAGTTGATTAGAAATTTATTTATATAATACTTATAATAGAATTGTGGCAAGTGTACAATACTATAATTAAGGGTATATTCGACATCATTGTGCTTTTCAGTTTTTGGTTTTAAAAGTCATATGATATATGTTGGAGGACCAACTCAGCCAAAAGGTTAAGCTGATGGTTGAGGCCCAGAATTATTTTTTTATACTCTATCACGCCCCCTTACATGAGAGCCCTTTGGGCTTGAAATGTGGATGCAGCATGAGTCCTCTGCATACCCTGTGTGAAATATTCCACTTGAAAGTGAGGGTAGATAAAATTCGAACTCGTAACCTCTGTGTCATGCTGGTTCCGATACCATGTTAGAGTGGCATTTTAACAATAAGTTTTTGGTTAACATGACCCTCTAACAATAAATTTCACTAAAAAATAATAAAAAAAAATTATTCAAATTTATTGAAATCACCAGGAATTTGAAAAGTGATAACAAAAAAGTCCAAACACTTTATGTGATTTCCTGCATTTTGTTTTTAGTTTTAAAAAAGCGAAGATGAACAAGCCCAAATTTAAAAAAAAAATTAAATTGATTGGAAAGCTGGTGGGTCATCCCAAAAATTAGTATTTCAAAAGATCTTTTTCTAAAAACAAAATAAAAAAAAAAGATAAAATTATCCGACGCTCGAGAAAAGATAAGATAAATAAGAAACATATAACAAATAATAAAACCATTAACCATAAATTTCTGAGACTAATTCATAGGGTTTAAGCGAAAACTATATCTTAGCCATCTTTTGTCTCCTACAAATGGCGATGTCAATGAAGTATTCGAATCGAGATCAAATCTCGACATTACCAGAAGAAATAAGGCAACATATACTCTCTTTGTTACCTTGCAAAGAAGCAATTAAAACTAGTATTTTGTCGTCGAATTGGAGGTATGTTTGGCTCAACTTACCTACGTTATCGTTCGATAAATCCATCTTTGCTAAGAAAATAGAATTTCAAAGAATTGTTGAATTAGTATTGTTCAAAAGCTTCCTTAAGATAGAAACTGAGAAGTTAAGAAATTTTATATTGTTGTTTTTGGACTTCCTTGAACGTATAAATATTCATAGAAAAGATAGAGAAAAATGTATGCGATACACAACTTCACAAGTGTTAGATCTTTATTTATGTACACTACCGGAATTCTACCCACGAATCGTATCGTTTTTCAAGCAATTGGAGGTGAAAGAATTACGTCTTACCTTAAACTTCGGGTTTTTAACTGATGAGAAGGATACCGAGTTTTTGGAATCAATAGGTGACCTTCAAGAATTAACAAGTTTATGTTTATATATTGGACAGTCCGGTAAGCTAACGAGTCCTTTACGGCTTCCTTCGTGTCTTCGAAACCTTAGTCTCGATAATGTGGACATACATGTTTTGGTGCTTGAAAAATTATTTGATTCGAATTCTTGTATCGAGAGCTTGTGCTTTAATTGTTGCTCGGGCTTTACGATACTTAAAGTTTACGGGCTTCCTAAATTGAAGATGCTCAAGGTTACATATAACAAAGATTTGATTCGTCTTGAAATCGATGTACTACCTAGTCTTAGCTCATTATTTTATTATTTAACAATTCATCAAAGAGCTAAGTTATTGGTTTCTAAGTCCGTTGCCCTTAAGATATTGAAGTTATTGAATTATGATTTGCAAGAACAATTTGGGAATTCCATGGATAATCTTGTGTTATTAGAAATGGAAGCTTGCAAAAATATACACGCTTTTAACGTGGAAAATTGTAAGAAATTGACGACCTTACTTTTGGATGGTTGTCAAATTAATGATGAATGTCTCAATAAGTTTATAGAGACACTTCCAAGCATCAAACATTTGGGTATAAAACATTGTGATCTCTTGGAAAAACTAAAAATTTCGCGTAGTCATCTTCAACTCTTGGCTTTGCTAGGGTGCATTAAGTTGCATAGAGTTGAAATCAATTGTCCAAACCTTAATCGTTTTAGTCATGTGAACTTCGACAACTTGATTGTCCTCTCATCGATGACTCCATTTCCTCCTACGTCGGTTAACCTTTGGCTTCCTCATCGACGAAATCATAGCGCAGAGTATGTCAACCTCCTTGAATTGTTCAAAAGCATTAGAAATTGCAAAAAGTTGATCTTAGGAGCATATTACATTGAGGTAATCTCTAGTCTCACTTTCAAGTACTTTTAAGTTTTAATTAGAAGTTGTTCTCTTCACATGAAATAAGAGACGAGTCTGATTTTAATAAGTTTTGATCTGGTCTGATCTGAATTTTTATTATCTGGTTTGGTCTGGTCTGATTTATTGCTTTGATTAAATTTTGACCGCATTTTAATAATAATTTATAAAGAAAAACATTATTAAATTGGATCTTGTTAGATTCGTCTATCATGTACTTTTCAAATATGTAATTTTCACAATTTTTTTAATACGTAATCAATGATATTTAGCAATAAATAAATGATAATTCAAAGTTCTGGTCTGACTTGATCTGAATTGGTTAGGAATAAGTAATAAATATCTAAAACAAGTTGAAGAGAACAACTCAAATCTAACGAAAGAATAATCGTGTTGTGTTGTGTTTTTTTTTGCAAAGGATTTAATGATTTTATGGAGAATGAAGCAAAGCTCTTGCCCACCACTTAATGAAGTTAAACATTTGACAGTCAAATTGTTTGAAAAAAGGGCATCTCAATCTCTTGCAAGATATGTGGAAGCTTTACTTTGGTTATTTCCTCAAGTAACAACAATGCAATTCATATGTTTTGAACCTTCATCTAGCATATCCTTCAAGGTATGTACGACCTTCTCTATGATCTCTTTATAGTTGTTTGCGGTTAGTTATCGGAAATAGATTCTTGTTTCATACAGACCCATTTTTTTTTTAAACTATACTACTAAGGCTAAGCTTATATTGTAAGGATTGTAACTATTGCATTCGAAAAACCTTTTCATATATCAATCTTGAAAAATAATTGATCGAGTTGGTGCTCCAACATCCATGGGCGGATGTATTCGTGTGCATAGTGGTGCACGTGATTCAACAGAGAATTTTTGACACTTATCACCTACAATTGTTACTATTTTAAGAATTACCACCTACAGTTTATCTTTATTTTTTTTTTTAATTTTACCACCTAGTATTTTTTTAAACATTAAAACTTCCCACTTAATTGGCTCTATGATGTCATGTGGGGCCCACTAACTACCTTCCCACCCTTTTTCCCTCCTTTTCTTTCTTTCTCTCTTGATTTCTCATTCCCCTATATTGTATTCCTCTCAAATTTGGGGAAAAACTTAAAATAAGTGTGGCGAAGAAAAATTAAGGATAGGATCAGTGGTCATACTCCAAGAACACGATGATTCCACGAAAAGGTATGCTTCACATCTTAATTGGGGGCTTTCAATTCGTTTTAGGGTTTAGGGTTTTCAATTTGGGGATTTAATGAATGTGGTTGAGATTGTGGTTTTCAAGTGAAATTAGGGGTTAGGGTTTTCAATTCGTGAATTAATTAAAAGGAATATGTAACTAATTACCTGGTTCTATTAGTTACAACTCAATTAAGGTTATAATCCAATTATAGTGGTACGATTACTAGGGTTTCACATTGTCAGTGTATAAACTCAAATTACTTTGCTTTTTCACTCCTTTTTGCTGAATCCAATAGACACACTCCTCCTTAGCTTGGTCCCCCCCTTCAACGTTGTCGTTTTTCGAACTATTGAACTCTCCAACTACCAAGAATTAGGTACAAATCAGGAACTTTTTCTTCGCTTTTTGACCACGATTTAGGAGAGAGAGAAAAGAACTCTTTTTTGCTGAATCCAATAGACAAACCCCTCCTTAGCTTGGTCCCCTATTCAACGTTGTCTTTTTTGAAACTATTGAACTCTCCAATTGCCAAGAATGAGGTACAAATTAGGAACTTTTTCTTCGTTTTTTGACCACGATTGAGGAGAGCAAGAGAGAAAAGAAGTGACTCGTGAGAGTAAATTTTCCGTAGAAATTAGGTGGGTGAGCTTGTTAATTGCCATTAAAGGTGAAGGAGAGAGGAGGAAGACAGGTGAGAAATCGAGAGAGAGAGAAAGAAAAGGAGGGAAAAAGGGTGTGAAGGTAGTTAGTGGGCCCCACGTGACGTTAAAGAGCCAAGTAGGTGGGAAGTTTTGATGATTTAAAAAATAATAGGTGGTAAAATTCAAAAAAAAAAAAAAAAAAAAAACCTGTAGGTAGTAATTTCTAAAATAACAACTGTTGGTGGTAAGTGTCAAAAAATTCTAAAAATTTAAAAATAAAAAATAAAATAAAAACCATAATTTGTAGTTTTGTGATTGAATGAGTTGATTAATTTATTTCTCCTCAAAGTTTAGTGAATTGTGATTGAATTAACCATGAAGAATGGTCTTGATTTGTTGATCGATGGTGATGGACGATGATGATGATTGTAGAGGAAGAGAGCCAAACAGAGCAGCCACATACGAAGAGGAAGAAGGAAATTGGGGTGGGGGTTGGTCTGATGGTTTTCCTTTTTTTTAATAATTTTGTTTTGTTTTCCTTTTTTTATTCATTCCCTTTTCTTTTTTTTAAAAAAAATTTATTTTTACTTTTCATTTCTTTTACCTTTTACTTTTCTTATTATGATAAATAAATTGTTTTGAAATTTGCAGGTTGAATTGTTGAATGGTTAAAGTTGTTTTGTTCAATTGTTGTAAAATTGAAGTCAAAGTATAAAACGCCGTATTTTGGCATTGTGTTTTACCGTTTAGACTTTGGAGAATTGAAAATGAACGGCTTTTAGAAAAAAAAACATGTGTCAAAATCACAAAAATCATCTGTTTGTTCCTCCCCCAATATGACCCTATAAACCCATAATTGATGTAATTTTGAGGTATGGCTTAAGTTTTATGTGTTTATTTCAAGAATTCTATCTTATTTTGGATATTTTTTGTTGTTTCTATGCTGCGATATGTTAATGGTGGGTTGAGGTGGGTGCAATGGTTGTGGAGTTGTGGGGTTAATTTTTTTTTTCTTTTTTTTGCTTTTTTTGTGTGTGGTGGCGGTGCGGGTGGTGGTGTAGGTAGGACAAGATCAATAATTGATTTTGACTCACCAGCTCAAAAATCTTAGATTTGCCATTGCCAACATCATCACCTTTCTACGAATACATATTTTCTTGTGCATAAATTGTGAATAGTGATCAAATAGGACTTTTTGATAGCATTAAAAGTTAAGTTGAAGTGTTAAGAAATTGTATATAATTTGGTTTAATTTTTTACATTTTTGTGTTGTGTACATGAAAGAGTTAATCTTTGAGTTTCTTTTATCTAATTTAAACCGAATTTTTTTTGGGTTGCATTTCAGTTTAATTACAAGTTGCCAACGCCTTTAGATGCAAAAAGTTGTGGTTGCTATGGATCAGTCTCTATCCGATGTTGGAGGCATTCAATTGAGAGTTTTGTAATGCAAGAGAAAAAAGGATTTCAAGATGATTCCTCTCTAGAACAATTTTTTATTAGGGTAATACAATGACTCGGTTGTTATGGGATTTGGTGCAATACTAAAGCTTGCTATTATTTATAAGACAATACAAGCTTTTTGAGGTTAAAGTTTAACGGATGCTTCTAAGTTCTAACTGTCGGACTGTCTAAAACAAGTTCTAAATGTTGACCTGTGGTGCATCCGGTTATCAACCTATGTTCTTTGAGGGTTTGAAATGTGTAATATGGTATTGAAATAGATTTTCTATCTCAAACATGAACATGTTTTTTTCTTTTTTCAGGTTTGAACTAAATGATCTATGATTTGGTTGTGAAGATTAAACAAGTTTTTTGGATTTAAAATACATTTTTATGTTTCTTTTGTAGTTCATGTTATTTACATATGAACTTTGAATTAATTATAGTATTATGTGAAGTATAAAAGATAAATGTACATGTCCATAATACTTACGTTAGTATTGATACATTAGTCACAATGAATATGTCCATAACACCAACCTTTTGTTAATTTTAGGAAATTTTGTGTAGAACTACCTTAAATATAGACTGTTTTTTGAACAATGTAATTACCCATTTGTTTTAATTTTGTTTAGAACTACCCGTAAAATCACAAATATTTGTTTAGCACTACCCATAAACTGTTAGCTTATGATTCATGCACCATATAACTGGTTTGTTGCATATACTACAAGGTATAATTTGGAAGTTTTAATCTTATATGTGATACATTCATGCTCCATATAATTGGCCGGCCATATATAATGCAATGTATAATTGGTACGGTGACATTACTATATATATACGTAGTATGTGATGATATATATTTTTGCAATACAATAAATATGTGACAATTTTATAAATATATATGTATATGAGCAAGTTCAAGAAATTTTAATAGCAAGTAAACCTCAATTTTCGTTTTTGTGATTTATAGTTATGATGAAATTTAGATAATGAAGAGAAAAATAGTACATTAGGCTTGAAATGATAATAAAATCTATAATTTGTTTTATAATTAAATTCGTGCAAATTAATCTATTTTTAACGGTAGAAGGGATTGAAATAGCTTAGCAAACATCAAACTCTATCTTTAGGCCATTAATTACAAACAAATAGATATAAATCAAATACAAATCAGCAAAGTATATATTCCTGTTGCAAAAGCAAGATTTATAGAATATATTTTTATAAATCTGATCAAATAATACTAATTTTTAATGGTGAGAGCATCATTATAGAGAATATTAGGGTGTCACATGGAATTGCCATAGCTCTATCCACGCCGCTAAACACCAAAAAGATTGGTCGGTAAAGATCATAAAGTTGCTGTAAGCTTTCATTGATACTTCCTTCATACGAAGTATTTGAATAAGTGTATCAATTCGACCAATACATGTGTTAAATTGTCAATGTACGATTTTGATAATTAATATTTAGAATGGATAAGAAACCGTGAGAGTGGGCCCCACAAACGGCTTAATTGGAAAGAAACAGTTTATGGGTAGTGCCGTAACACATGCTCCATATGCAACTTTAGAATCACTTTTCCACCTTTTAATAGCTTGCTGACACGTGTCACCAAAGCCCTAGAAGGGGATTGATCTCCTTCTCTATAAATAGAGGAACCATCCTCATTTATGAAAACAACATATATTGAATACACATCCAATACACTCAAACACTAAGCAATCTTC